GATGGGAGCTGAAGCTCGACGATAAGCCAATGAGTACGTTCCAAAACAGGGATAAATACCTGCATCGAAATGTAATAATTCAAATTGCACACTTATTTATGAACACCTTTAAAATATTTAAACAAATAAATACTAACCTTATCGACCTCCCACCATGTAGGATAAAGTTTAGCTTGTCCATTAGCCAACACATATGATTAATGTCGTTGATTCTTCAAGTAAACTACGTGAAAAGACGTCGGCATAATTAAATATCGCGTTTTTTTTTATATTTTTCTTCAATTTCCTTACAATTAGAAGACGTGTCACCCATGCATCAATATGTTGTTTTACAAACAAAGACATATATTAGTGAATTACATAAATTTTAAAAAAAAAATAATCAAATTGAAATATAAGAAGAAATATAAGACTTACCCCCTATCGAAATAGCCGTTATCATCAGCCCCTAATAATACACCCCACCAAGACCGTTCAATCAACAAATGCATATCATCGTTGAGTTTGTATATGTCAGCGTAACACCCTTGGCTCCGCTCATGTAGATAAAAATCAACTGCGGTCTTAGCCCAAAGGGTATTATCCAGAATTATTTCTGGTAGTTGTTTCCTCTCCACTTCATCTACCGGAATGGTACTGGCCGGTAACTTATACGAAAACCAATAGTCATCCATCATGTCTGGCACGTGAGGGGGCTTCTCAATAATTCGATATATTACGCCGTGTGAATCGGGCTCTAGAATGTTGGGAGGGACCTCTTCAACGATGACAGTGGCCTTTTGAACGGTGGGAGGGGACTCTTGAGGGATGATAGGGGCCTCTTGAATGATAGGGGAGGCCTCTTGAACGATGACAGGTGAGTCGGGCTTTTTCTTACGGATTCTTCACACTATTGGGGTGAACGGAGACGTAATGGCATATGCACGCCGTCTGATGCGTGAACTCCGTCTTGCAAGAAAAACCCGAAGTAGAGCATCCACCTTAGTGGGCCGCTAAAAATAAATTAATACATAAATCAGTAAATAAACAGACATGATATTAAACAGTGAGAACAAAAACAAATATATTTCAAACTTGCACGGTATTCTCCCAAGTCATTATTATATCATTGTTCACAAAATGCATCATATAACATTCCAGAAGTAAGCACTTATATAAACATTTAAAAGGATAACATATAGGTTTAGTGCAGGTTCAATGACAACATAAAGAGTAGTTTATTCTTGAAACTTAAATTTTCAACACTGTGAAGTTAGTATTTGTCTTTTGGTTGAAGTAATGCAATTCATTCAAGTTTCAATTTGCAGAAGAAGAATAGAATCTGAAACTTAAAATCGCAACGCGAAAAATGACTATCGCAACGCGAAAATGACTATCGCAACGCGAAAATGACTATCGCAATGCGAAAATGACTATCACAATGCGAATTTGACTATCACAATGCGAATTTGACTATCGCAACGCGAATTTGACTATCGCAACGAGATAATCGCAATGCGCAAAAATGACTATCGCAACGCGAAAATGACTATCGCAATGCGAAAATGACTATCGCAATGTGAATTTGACTATCGCAACGAGAGAATCGCAATGCGATTTTCATTTCGCATTTCGATTCTCTCGTTGCGATAGTCAAATTCGCATTGCGATAGTCATTTTTGTATTGCGATAGTCATTTTCGCGTTGCGATTTTGTTGTTGCGATTTTCTCGTTGCGATAGTCATTTTAGCGTTGCGATAGTCATTTTCGCATTGCGATAGTCATTTTCGCATTGCGATAGTCATTTTCGCATTGCGATAGTAAACTATTCTTCTTCTGCAAATTGAAACTTGAATGGATTGCATTACTTCAACCAAAAGACAACCAAAAACAAATACTAACTTCACAGGGTTAAAGAATAAACAGTTAAACAGTATTGGCAACAACCGAATGAATTTACTAAGCAATCTAAGTGAAATTACGAGTAAATTTATCATCAAGTTAAATATAAAAATATTAAACTTACCTCATTGCGTAAAGTATGAACCTCATTCTGTAACGATACTACAATCTCACGTAGAGTTGCTACCTCACCACGTAAAGTAGACACCTCAACACGCCATGCACCATTGTCATCGCGTAAAGTACCGACCTCCTCACGCAAGGCATTGACCTCATTACGTAACTCCCCTAACTCATCCCGTGGAGGTGGAGGTGGAGAACAGGGAGAGAAACGTCGTGGCATCTTTGCCGGTCGCCTATCATGAGGTGATGGTGGAGAATAGGCTCGATAATGTGACAGAATAGGTGATGACTCTCATTGTAGAGGTGTATATTCGGGTCGATCAGGTGATGGCTCTGGGTGAGGTGATGGCTCTCGAAGTGGTGGCTGCTCATCATATGTGCCATCAAAAAAATGCTTACTAGCTTACCACCAATCAGTGGCAAGCTCAGCTTCCGTGGGTGTCAGCCTCTATAATGGAGTGTTGGCCTCCTAACAATATAAAAGCTCAAACAAAGTTAAACGTGTACTAGTAATAACTTGTTTATAAACATATGGTAGTATTTGTGTTAACTTACATTATTTATTGTAGTATACGGTAGTAAATCTTCCCATTGCTGCAAGGACCGTTTCCTCTTCCAGGAAATAGCCCTAGGAATATCATTAGAAGTTTTTAATGCATATGTCTGCATGGCGGGAAAGGCCTCAAATATCCAAATCTACAAACAATATAATAACAAACATTAGTAATTGTTAAAGAATTAATTATAATTTTGGAAACATTATATAAAAATTATTACCTTAAAGGCCCAAATAAAGCCTGACAAAGTGTATTTGGAACATCGCCATGCAAACTTTTCCGATCATCAAAGGCAGAAGACAACTTATTCCATGTAGCTTTCCATAGATACGAACCCCACGGAAACAGGTTCCATGCATTTAGGTCCTCTACCAATTTAATTAGATTATTAGGAATAGGTTGTCGGGCCTCTCTGCCTAAAAAGCCGGCTTGCAAAAGTATTAGAAGGCATACTCGGACAACATCGACGTCATCCATCCGAGTAAAACCATCTTTCTTATTCAATAATCTCGTCAAGTCTTCCACGTGTAAATTCGACAGCTCAGGAAAAACCCGGGAAAACCATGATAGGCGGGTAATATGTCTAGTGTACCGATCTACATCATCGTGTCCGAAGCGTAGACCGGTGATTAAGCAAAACTCCTCCTGCCCAAAACACGTATACGTCGGTGGAAAATCAAACCATATCTCTTCATCACGACGTTGTATAGTCTCTGGTAGATCTCTTGTCATGGTTTGAAGAAACAGATGGGTCAACATAGCATCTCCACCCGGATGTTGTACTTTCAGCCATGGCCCGAAGCAAGTATCCTCAAATATTTTTCTTTGTGCAGGTGAAAGCTTCGACGCAATTGTTTTGGCCAGGCTTACTTTATTTCTTAAGGTCAATTGAGCCGAATAAAAGTTCTGCAAAAACAATAAACATACCAAGTTAGATATACCAAAAACTACACTGTGAAGATATAACAAGAACAATAAACATAAAGAGTAGTAGTTTATTCTTCAAACTTAAATTTGCAACACTGTGAATTTAGTATTTGTCTTTGTTTTTTGGTTGAAGTAATGCAATTCATTCAAGTTTCAATTTGCAGAAGAAGAATAGTTTCTGAAACTTAAAATCGCAACACGAAAATGAAAATCGCAACACGAAAATGACTATCGCAACACGAAAATGACTATCGTAACACGAATTTGACTATCGCAACGCAAGAATCGCAACGCGAAATGAAAATCGCAACACGAAAATGACTATCGCAACGCGAATTTGACTATCGCAACGCAAGAATCGCAATGCGAAATGAAAATCGCAACGACAGAATCGCATTGCGATAGTCATTCTCGGTTTCAAATACTAAAATTGAAAGAAACTTGAATAGATTGCATTACTTCAACCAAAAGACAAAACAAAGACAAATACTAACTTCACAGGGTTAAAGACTAAACAGTTTAGCAGGATTGACAGCAATCGAATGAATTTAATAAGCAATCTAAGTGAAATGGTTAATCTATTATTGAAAACACCAGTAAACTTATCATCAATTTCAATATGAAAAACCTAATAATAATACAAAAATTTAAAAATAAAAATAATTAAAAAAACTAACCCTCGGTGGTTGATTTGGCTGATTTTCCATTTCTGATCGTGAATGATTTCGCCGGAGATGGAGACTGATATCGTCGGAGATGGGAACTGATTTCATCGGAGATGGGGATGGATGTCGCCTTAGAGAATGAGAGATGGAGATGAGACTGAGTTGTGATTTAGGGTTTTAGGTTATGAGTTGCGATTACAAGATATACTGTGGACGGTTCAGTGTTTCGATATATTAATATATTCGTGTTTGGAATTTGAAAAAAAAATACGCGTTGGATACGAATGGCGCTATGTAAATCGCATTGCGATAGTCAGATTCGCATTGCGATTTACGTATTCGCATTGCGATTTACGTATTCGCATTGCGATTTACGTATTCGCATTGCGATTTACGTATTCGCATTGCGAATTAAGAAAATCGCAACACGAATTTGGAAAATCGCAATGCGATAGTCAGAATCGCGTTGCGAATCTGGAAACTGATTTACGATACCGAAGATCGCGTTACGAATTATCGATCGCGTTGCGAATTATCGATCGCATTGCGATTTAGTTGGTCATTTTGACAAATCCAAAAAAAATTGATTAAAATCGTATATTATAAGATATTTTTTGTCACTGAAATTATTTTCTCTTTAAAAATTATCATAATATAACAAATGTCACGTAATGAGAAAATTAATAATATATACGGCTCGGTCAGCGATAACGTGTATAACATTAAGTATCAAGATCATTCAAAATATACGGTAAACATATATTCGTGAGAAATGATATAGGTAGAACTATTTTATTCTATATTTAAGCCAAACAAAACATAACCTGGAAAATTCTGGTATAAAGAGAAAGAAGTGGCGTGCTGGAGAGGTAGAGATTGAAAGTAAAAGAGAATGTCGAAAACGCTGGTGCAACCGATAGGGCAAAAGCGGCTGACGAACGTGGCCATCGTGCGTTTGAAGAAACACGGCATGCGATTCGAAATCGCTTGCTACAAGAACAAAGTCCTCTCCTGGCGTTCTCGGGTGTAAGTTTTTTTTTTTTTACAAATTGTATTTCAGTTATTATTGTTATTGAATTTTGATTAAATTTATTTAAAAAGGAAAGAAATTATTGATACAGAGAGAAGGATTTGGACGAAGTGTTACAATCCCATACGGTTTACTCAAATGTCTCGAAAGGGGTTCTTGCTAAGACCAAAGATTTGATTGCTGCTTTTGGTACTGATGATCAGACTAAAATTTGTTTGGAGGTAATTCTAGTTTTATTTTTTAAATAGATTCGATTTTTATTTTTGTCTGTGTGTTGATTTGAGGTTTTTGTTGGGTGATAGATTCTGGAGAAAGGGGAGCTGCAAATTGCTGGGAAGGAAAGGGAATCACAATTTTCAAGTCAATTTCGGGATATTGCGACGATTGTTATGCAAAAGACTATCAATCCTGAAACTCAGCGTCCTTACACCATTAGTATGATTGAGAGGCTAATGCATGAAATTCATTTCGCTGTTGATCCCCATAGTAGCTCCAAGAAACAGGTCATTTGTCGTTGCATTAGTTGTTGTTTACGAATTTACCCATCGATTATTGAAACAAACTGATGAATTTTCTGATTTTAATGAATCTTTCATGTCATGCTGAGAAAAGCTTGTCTAAATCATTTAGCTTGGATGGTATTTTCTTCGATATTAATTGATTCCAAATACTTGAAAAATCTGTTCATATAGAGACGAGGTGTATTCTTTTTCTGCTGTCTTCATTGCCTAACTGTTTTTATTTTTCAGGCTCTTGAGGTTATTCGTCAGCTTCAGAAGAACTTCCCTATAAAACGGTCACCCATGAGATTACGACTCATTGTTCCTGGACAAAATTTTCAGTCTCTTTGTGAGAAGCTAAATGAATGGGGTGCTATCACTGTTTCGAAAGATGAATCTGGAGCTCAGTTCTCAGTTGTAAGTCCCGATTTGTAGCTTCATTTCGTAGTAGAAGTGTCTGACTCTTCATTAGTGATTTCATCGTTTTTCTCATAACTGTGGTTATAAGTTCACTTCCCTTTTAGCATCATTTACTGAAATATTTAGAAGTGTTGTCTGCTTGCACTATTTTTCAAGTATCAGCGTTTGCAAGTTATGTGGAAGTGATTGATTTAATCCATTAAAAGTGTTTTCCAGACTTGCGGCATGATTTAATATGAAATTGGAAGTGGAACTAAGGAGAATTTTTCAAAGATAGTCAAATGATTTTGGTGTGTTGTTATTTTGTTTATTTCGATTTTGTTATTGTGGTAACTACGAGTGAAGCAAAGTGATGGGAGGTGTATATAACCAAACATAAGCTTAAACTTTGGCGAGTAAACCAATATCCAGTCGGGAATTTTACCATCACAGTAGCTCCATGCTTCTTGCACCTGTAATTCACCATTAACTCTATCCAGTGGCCATAGATGCTGAACTCATCTGAAATGACTCTTCTGCTAGTGTCATAAATGTAGATTTGTGCATCCGTACAATTGTGAATGTTATGGAATCTTTATGAGCTACATATCTGTGATCTTATGATTTGTACCCTGTACATTTACCTTCAACCCCTTCTGTTGGTGTTATTGTGTTATACTTCAGGATTGAATTGACTTTTCTCTGTTACCAAGCTGTGTAATTGGTGGTTGATATCTCTTGAAAAACATGTGGTTTACCTTTTATCTTGTCATTTTCTTGTTCAAGCTCTCAAGCTTTTGTTTGCTTGTTTTTCAGATTTGTGAAATTGAACCAGGACTTTACCGAGAATGTGATGACCTTGTGAGGAATTTACAGGGTAGATTGGAAATACTTGCAGTGTCTGTACATGCCGAGGGGGATACGCAGGTGGACAATTATGATGATGAGGACATGTCATCACATCTACCGAAGGATTCAGCTGAGTCAGCCTCTTCGCAGATACCCCCGGAATCTTCTGATCTAGTCGTCCAACTAAGTGAGAAAATGCAAAAACAAACCACCATCTCTTCAGGAAATGGGAACCCTGAAGGGGAGGCAAAGCAACATAAGTGCAGCACATGCAATGTATTTGTGGGGGACTCCAAACAGTACAGGTATCACTTTAAGAGTGAATGGCACAAGCATAATTTAAAACGCAAAACCAGGCAACTTCCTCCTCTTACTGCAGAAGAGTGCTTAGCCGATATGGATTTGAACGACTCGAAATCAGATTTGCAGGATTATTCATTTTGACTTGTGGCTAAAACTTATGGGGAAGGTGCGTATACCATTTATTTTCTCTTACAATCTTTTGTTGTTTCTACAGCTGGACATGAACTCAGTTGTAAAAATTTGGATTCATATTACATGGTATTGCTCGGATTTAGGTAGGTGTGAGTATTAGATATGGATTTTCGAGTGACAGTATTAGATATGGGTATATTTAAAGGGCCTTGGAGCATCATGTCTTTGTACTCGTATTCAAATATGTATTCGACACCGAATTCGACACCGATTAAGAGTATGTAAAGCTGTCATTGCATTGTTTTCTTTCTACATTGTAATAACTATAGTCTATATCCGAAAACAAACCACTATATTAACAAAAATAGAAACCTCTTGATATGTACAAATAATCTTGATTTACATATTCGAAGTTGGCATTCTTAAGGCAATCCATCATCTTGGGTGATTGCTCATTTCTTGTTTCTCATCTCTATTTCTGGGATTTTCTAACATAATACCTCTAGTTCTGGCCAAAAATTATATTGAGAAGGAACTCAATGCCTTTAGTTCATTTACATATTTCACCAGTTGTTTATCTGTGTGGGGATCTGTCAATGAAACCAACTAATAAGAAGGTTGATAAGAAAGATTGAAGAGAGCTTACACAAGCTGATTTGCATTGTTGAATTGAGTTCAAACATGGCGATTCAGGTAAAGAAGTAATTGATATTTCATCCCTGCATTTAATGACAAGATTTCAAAGTTAGATATGAATGTCAGCAAACATCGAGTGAAACTGTAAGACTACCGAGAAACTACAAAGATCTGGTATACATCAGACGGTGGTGCGGATCCAGGACAAGATTTTGAGATGTTAGCACTTACCATGAGCCCTTTGAAGGTCTGCTGGTTTGTTGAGTCCTGTTATCTCTATCATGTGTCGACGTTTTCGATCTACTAGATTGAAAATCTGAAGCTGAATCTGCCTGCTGGTGAAAAAAGAAACACAGGAGAACTAAAGTAAATGTGATTGATGCATCAATCAAATGAAAAAGGAATTTCTGCGGACGATATATACCATAAATTTCCTTCCATATAAGCTAGTAAATGAAGCTTCATCAACCTTATTGAATTTGGTTGGTTCCACCAGAGATATTGGATAAAGGGATGCTGCAGCAGTTGCAGTGCCGTAGGGCGTGTGGTTGGATCCCTTTGCAAGCAAAGTTCTATGAAATCCTGGGCATCCTTGGAAAGGTTATTTGGGATTTCCTGATAATCCTTGCCGTTTGCTATCTTAAATATGGCTGCAACCTGGTTAAAAAACATAAACCAAAATTATATTAGGAAGAAAACATATGACACCATGTAAGATCAGTGAGTCTCGGTTATGAATGCAACGGATACTGTTATGATCGATTTCGATAAATAAATAACACCACGTACTGGCTCCAGGGAGGTTTTGATGTTGCCATCTCAAGAATAGTACACCCTAAGCTCCATATGTCAACAGTTAAGCTATATCCATTAGTATTCATGTGGAACCTGGGCGTGGGCTGATGGAGATAAGGAATGAGTGCTTAGTGGACCTGAGAAGGAAAACGAGCCCAACAACCTGAATCAACAGTAGAAGACAAATCAACTAAAGGAATCTAGTTTGTTGAAAAATAATGTACAGCTGGCAATCTGTTATGACTATTCCTATAAAAATTAGTTGTAATGAGCATCAAATCTATGAATGAAAATCTTGAGAATTCTGTTTTCTTCAGTCTATCTTCTCTAGTTTCTTAGTCCTTTCTTAATTTCCTGAGTAGACCATTACAAATCCCCATGCATATCATCATCATCAAAAGATTCATTTGAGGTAAAACTGGAACCCCTTTGATTAGTCTCCATTGATGATCTACATGAACCTGAAGGTTGTGGGTATGGATACGCTTTTCTCTCGCTCGTTTTACTTCCCGAATCCGAATCCGAATCCCAAAACACAAAATTCCCATGAAAGGAGATTGAATAAGCTTCAATGTCGTAATTGTTTCTTGGTGATCTTTTAGTGACTGATGCAGCTTCATGGAAGCCATTTGTCTTGTCCATGATATATTTATTGTTCTTTCTTGCTATGAAGCTTTCTTCTTGCTGCTCTATTCCATATAATAGCCACTATGTGAGAATTATGCTTACATAATATATATTTATATATATATATATATATCAGAACTTTAGGGTGAAGTGTTTTGTGAATATTATGGTTTAATTAGATTGTGGTTAACATTAATGTGAAACTGCGTACTTGGCTGTATATACACGGGTGTTTATCTGCCGGGCCTTCCAGTGACTAATTGTTAATTTGCTCATGAACACACACATAATTTTATGTTATTAAGACGAGTTTATAAAGTTTTAAGCAAGAATGAACTTATAAAATTTTAGAGAGATAAAAACATATTATTAATAAAAAAACCACGAAGAATATATTTAAAATATATAAAAATTTGAAAATTTTAAAAGAGAGTACTCTAACCATTCCATTTGATCCATCCATGATGGGTTGGAATGGTTAATGTACGTCCAATCTATTCATTAACGATTTGTAATGTCGAAATATGACCTAAATCCTATACTTGCAACTTTCCCAATATAGGAAAACTCATTGCATTGCATTAAGATGAAATAATATATATATATAATGTATGATTTGGAGGAAATGATCACGTGCGGTAGTCTTAATATACGGTTAAAAAAAGACGCTATCAGTTTTGTTATTATTTAAATAATAAAACCGGCAAAAAATTACCGGAAACATTATTATTTCTACCGGTTTTGTTATTATTGAGCGTTTTTCCGGTTTTGTTAACAAAACCAGTAAAGCTCTACCGATTTTATTATTTTTTCTACTGATTTAATTATTGTTGAGCACTTTACCGGAAATATTAAAAAATATTGATGTTTTAGGTAGAAATAATAATTTTTTAAATAACTTTTTATCAATTTTATTATTTAAATAATAACAAAATCGATAATTTTTTTTAATTATATATTAAAAATGTCATATTGTAGAACTTCCTATTATTTGGACATAGAGATATCCTCGTCAAATTGGTTTCGACTACAGGCCAACCGGATGAATATGGTCTCACCTATATTTTAGATATTATTTGAGTTTCGTCCCATCATAATAAAACCAGAAGAAAGTGGACCTCCTGCTTTGATAAAATTGTCTTTATCAACTAAATCAATTTGTAAAACTAGCCACAAAAATTCGGTGATAGAATTTAGAATGGTCAGCTTAGAACTTTAAAAAATCCAAATATTTAAATTAAAAATTTTAAAAATTTTGAAGGGTTTAATTTACAATTCCTCCCCAAAGCACCCTCTTAAAAGCACTGCCTCTCCTTTTCTGTTAAACGTCCTTCACTCAATTATTTGGTTATGGGTTATGAATTTTATTTATATTTTCATAAATATCGAATTTATTTACTTATTAAAAGAAAAAAAAATTATTTCATTTTTATTATTCTTTTCTCGTTCCCTTCACAAAACTCAACTTATTTATATTAATGTAAGATTTTGGTTAATATTAATCAAAACGAAATTATTTCTTCATAATAAATCGATTTATCTTTTACATTTTACTTAATTGTTTTTCCTAATCATTAACTAATATTTTATTTTACAACACTACTTTTTATTAACAAGATAGATCCGCATGAAAAAAAATATAAACTTTTGGCATTATAAATCAAATTTTGATTGATTAAACATTCTTATGAAAATTAAAGTGGTTAATATATTAACACATTTAGGAGAAATTATTTCATGACGATTCTTATCATATTATTTATAGTCTCCAACAAGTATATCATGTCACGTAAAATTATTGTTATATCATTTGTATTAATAAATTATCTAGAAAATTAATCCAAAAATCTTGCTTTTAATAAGATTTTTATTAAGCGTAAAACTACCTTTCGATAATCATTCCCTTATCTTTAAAATTTTATAAGTTCGTCACCTAATATAAAATCATGCGTCTATCCCTGATTGATGTAATGCAAGATGGACTACCTCACTCAATCATCATCCAAATCTATGTGTGTGAGCCATGGGATATGCATTCTTACAAATTCTTACAAGAATGATTTTCAGTAGAAGATAATATCTGTTTGAAATCTTTCTTAGTCATTGATAGAGTACACACCCTGCAAACACCGTTACTCGAACCCGAAAACTCTAAAGAGAACAATACTTCATTTAACCACTAAAATTGCTTGATGGGTTCATCAAAAATAAATTCTTAACTTAAAGATGAAACAAGATAAAACACTAAACATAAACATAAATAATAATATAATTTAAAAAATATAGTAACATTCATTGTTAAAATAACTTTAAATAAATATACATCTGGTCTATGAAAATAGAACATTCTCTTAGTGTCTTAAAATTTATTTGTAGATAAATTGATGTCACACTGTAACGAATTAATATCAAAATATTTATTGATTTCAATTTTTCGAGTTTTGTGTTAAATTATTACAATAAATTAAAGAATTGATACGTGTACACATATTTAACTACTTAACTAGATTTAATGTTTTAACATTTTTTTTGAATGAAATATTAAGATAATTTTTTATGGAAAACCCACATATATTTATATGTTAATTATTAATGTACAAAATAAAAATGCAACCTATTAAATAAAGTAGTAAGAGATTGGAAATACCTAAAAATGTAAAAAGAAATATTGATAGAAAAATGCAACCTACTTGTCGATTCGTGAGAAAATGAAAAAAAAAATAGAAAACGAATATCAGTAATTATAAAAGAATATAATATAAAGATTTTTTAATTATTACATCATTAATTTAAAAAATAAAAATTAACGAAAGTCTAAGCATGACCTAAACCCTAATCCAAATTTAATATTGTTAAACTTTGTATTATAATATTTTGATATAATAAATAATTGTAAAAACATTTTTAAATTTAATTATACGTCTCAAAAATAATTCAAAGTCCAAACAAAGTTGTTTTAAAATATTTTCAATTTAGCTGAACCATTACAAAATCAACTAAGATCATTTTGCTCTTAAAAGTTAAATTTTCTAGTGTTTAAGGCAAACAAGATCGATCACTTCAATTATAGCATAGTTAAAGGATAGACCTCTTATGAAAATGATCGATTCTTTTCTTGGGTCATAAAAAATCAATATCTTCCCTCGAATGATCGAACCATTGACTGGCAACAATCAAAATTTTAAAAAGAGGTCGAACCCTTTGACAAAAGACTAGATCTCTAGTGCCATAAATATTTTACTTCTTCATAGTTAACATCTTTTTTTTATCTTCCAATGGCTTTTAACGACTAGTAATTATAGAGATGATACAAAAATAAGCTCCAAACATCTCAACAATCAAGAAAAATATTTTTGAGTATGTATATCAATATCAAAGAGTTATTTAGTGTTTAATTATCGCATTCTTGTTGTAAGAACACTTGTAAGCTATTATTGTTTAATTTACTTTAGTGTTCATTTCGGTATGAATTTATTTTTGCAAACATTTAATCATTGTAAGTTTTTTTTTTTTAAGTTTGCTTTACATGTATTTTCTCTTTGAGGGTGTTCTTAAGGTTATTGGGTATAAAATTTAATGGGTTGTTTGTTTCATGGAATGTAAGATAACTATTGGGAATAAGATTATCGAAATGTTGCATTACTTAACATATTACTAGGAATGTTGTATTATCTTGTTCGGGTTGTTTGGAAGGAATATAAGATTATAATATTTGGTTGAAAGAATATAAGAAAAGGAAAATGTATGTTCTACTCAATTGTCCTTGAGTGTTTGGTTGGAAGAATATAAAATAAGAAAATGTATGTTTTACTCAATTATCCTTGAGATATATTTTATTTTTTTAACAAGTTGAATTCTTAATATTAAACTTCAAATATTTACATGAAAATTCATAGAAAATATAATTTCTAATTTATATATTTTTTTAATAAACTTGTACACAAAAACCATACTTACATCGACATAATTATGTGTTTATTATTAGTTACCAAGATTGAGAGATGTATATACTTACACCGGTATAAGTATGTGTTAATGGCTACACTTATTTTATTATTCATGTTATATGCATGAGTTGTACAATGAATTATCATATCAAATTATTTGAAAAAATTAATAGAAAATATAAAAAAAATATAATAATACTCAACATAAAATAGAAATTTTGCATTTTTTTACTTTTTATTATATGCATCTTATTATTTTATAACAAATATAAAAATTTAGGTAAAAACTAAAAGAAATAAAATAAATTTATACCAAAATAATAATATTTTTACTTTATAATATCCAACTTAAACCAACTGCTAAAGGAGAAAATAAATTATAAAATTAAGGATTTATTATACTGTTTAAAGGAATAAATAAGATGATAGTTTTGAAACAATTCATTTAGTTCAAGGGTAATATTTCCCATCCGATGGGAACTGTTAAACACCTAAGATATTGGAGAGAATGACGTTCCCAAAGATCCCAGCCAAAAAAAGTTACTGCAGATAATGTTTCATTGCCCCATGAAAGGAATGTTCTTGAACCAAATATGTGTATGTGATTTCGAAAAAGAATATTCCTCCTAATAATAATTTTTTTTCTTGATCCAAATGCAAGTAAAGGAATTGAGAAAATACTTAGTGTGTATAGCTAAGGTAGTGAATGTATACTTGATTTAGAAATTAAACCACTTTTCGATATATGCAAATTATTTATATATTTCTATTGCTTTCACAAAATTTTTAAAGTGTCAAATTACCCTATCTTGATATTATTTGATTGCTCGATCAAACTAACAGTTTGTATCAAAGAGAATCTCTATTGATGATTTAATAATCTTGAGAAGATCTTAGGAGAGCTCTAACAATTTTTACATCAACCTAAAAAATGATTTCTTCCTTTGACTCGTACTACCTTAAAGATTTCCAACTGATTAACAAACATTCATATTTTAATGGGGTTAATTATGTAAAAGAACAGGATGAAGATCTTTATTCAAGCAAAGAATTCAAGAGTTTGGAACATCATGTTAAAAGGTTATTTTACCCTAACAGAAGATTCCAATGTTATGCACATTCTATTTTATGTATTTGGTCTAAATGAATATGGAAGAATCTCCTCATGTGGCAATGCTAAAGAGAGATGAGATAAGTTTCGAGTCACTTATAAGAGAACTAACGGTATAAGAGAAACAAAATTTGGTCTCCTTAATCTTCATTATGAAAACTTTCAAATGAAATTCGAAATCAAATTTATAAATATCCATACTCAAAATAATTCAAATTCAAAATGATTTGATCTAAATCAGTCTTAGCTCGTCCAATAATCACCCTTACATGGTGTTTATTCCATAAAAGTTGGTGTGACCAACGCCTCTCACATCTACGAGCTCGCCCTACTAACACTGATTTCGCCACTGCCAACAATCACGACTTTGCTCTTGGGCGTGCCGCTTAGCCTTCCTTCGGCCTCGATTTTGTTAACCACATCCATCCCGGAGAGCACTTTTCCAAACACAACGTGTTTTCCATCCAACCTGCAGAAAATGCAGAGTTAAAAGGATGAAGTATATATCATCTAGACCGGCTGCAACTTCCTATTTACCAGTTGGTTGTCACGGTTGTAATGAAGAATTGCGAGCCGTTGGTGTTGGGACGGGGATTCGCCATGGACAAAACCCTATACCAAACAAACAATTTTTGCTTTGTCACTGTCATTCCTTGAAAATGAAAGTCATATATTTTGCCCCTTTCACAATGTAAACATGGCTGGTGTAGACACTAATTTCTCACCCATCTCCCTGTTTTTCCGCCAATGACTCCTCACAACCCTTGCACCAGATTTCTCGGCACACTCAACCACCAAGCGACAACCCCTCGTCAACAACTGAATCCCGGTGATCTCGGGATTGAGTGGAAACAACCCCCCAACTCACCTATAAGTAAACAAAGGCAGGGGGGTAGCTTGGAATCGGGGGTAGCTTGGAATCGGGGGGATTTTTTTTTCGATCTCCCAAATAAAACCCACGTTCATCTTCTCGGATACTCTCTCTCTCTAACCATACGGTCGGTTGTACTCTCCAAACTTCAAGCCTCAACGCCGGCCGTCGACCCCAAAAAGCTAAGCCTCGCCAGTGCCTCATCGCTCTTCCTATAACGAAAAATGAAACCAAACATGGCGAGTGAAGAGCTCCTCAAGCCCTTCTACCAGAGAGCTATCGAGGCTGAGAACGATTACCCGGACTAGATGTCGTTCTAGTGGCCAACAAGATACGGCAAACTGGAACCTTCCTAATTAATAAGTGAATTACAGGCGAAGTTAGAAGTTGCAAATGCTGAGGCAGCTTTCTCCTAAAGACCGCATTCAGACGATGTTGGTCGCCGAAGTCCATCTCGGTACCCATAACCGTGATTTCCAATGGAGCGTCACGTTTTCAAGCGTCACAATAATGGAATCTACATCATCAACCTTGGCAAGACCTGGGAGAGCTTCAGTTTACTGCTCGTGTATTGTCGCTGTCGAGAACCCTCTGGACATCATTGTCCAATCCGCAGGCCGCATTGTCGGAGAGATATGTTGAAATTTGCGTAGTACACTAGTTCCATGCATGACCTATTCGGATGCTCAAATGTTAAGGGAAATCTGTGCCACTCCAATCCTTAAGCAGGAGACAACAACACTACCAGACCCATTCTTCACTTTGGTCATCAACAATCTCGCATGTGCCCAGGATTTTGTTTCCATAGACTCGTCAAGCTTCGAACCGATTAAATCCAGACGGAATCGAGGAAGCACTGAAATTGTTGAAAGCAAGTTTGAGCTGTCGGAGTTCTTGAAGGCAGAAAGGGCGGTGTCTGGAAGTATATTAGAACATCATGGAATCACAAGAAGTTCTAGATGTAGAACTTTCAGCTCGTGTTTTGCAGCTAATAAATGTCACTGATAGTGGATTACCCAGTCAGGTTTCTTTTTTTTATGTCGTTTATGTTATTACTTTTAAAATTTTAATTTTTAATTTTAATTTTTTTTCCATTTGATTTATTTATGTTTATTATTATTTCTTATCTAACATTTTTGACTTTTTAAGATTTTTTTCGATTGATCAAAGGTAAGTAATTAGGATCGGATTTTTAAATTTCAAATTAAATTTTTCAATTTTCGCAACCAGAGACAACCGACAAATTAATTGGTACCGAAAGGGCGGTTCAAGGGTGCTAATCCTTCCTTGACCGTACGACTCCCGAACCCAACACTTTCTGGGACAATGCAGATCAGGTAAGATGGTGTTCGACCCACCTAAATTCATTTTAAAGTGGTCGGTGGCGACTCCAATTCGTTTAATCCAAGTCGAAGCCCAATTCCGGGGCCCAACCGAAAGATGGTTACGACAGCTTGGCGACTCCGCTGGGGATAGGTAAGTAAGTCAGGCCGAAATTCAATTTTCGCAACCAAGACAACCGACAAATTAATTGGTACCGAAAGGGCGGTTCAAGGGTGCTAATCCTTCCTTGACCGTACCCGACTCCCGAACCCACACGTTTCTGGTACAATGCAGATCAGGTAAGATGGTGTTCGACCCACCTAAATTCATTTTAAAGTGGTGGCGACTCCAATTCGTTTAATCCAAGTCGAAGCCCAATTCCGGGCCCAACCGAAAGATGGTTACGACAGCTTGGCGACTCCGCTGGGGATAGGTAAGTAAGTCAGCCGAAATTAATTTTCGGTTGTCTTTTATGCGAAAACGGTAAATTTAAATTTTAATTTATTTATTCGATTCCAATTTTATCTTTGATTATTTTTCAAATAATAGTTGTACTGACGTGTTAATTATTTCAGATTTTTCAAAATTGTCATCTCTAAGCTCTAAACCCGAGCTCCGAACCCGTTTTAAGTGGGGGTGAAAAGCGACACATTCGTGAATTTATTCACCGCATATGCCTAGCAATTAGCCTTCGGGATCATATAACTTATGTCTTCGTGTGAATTTATTCACCGTGGGCATAAGGGAATGTGTCCTCTCGAGTTTAACTTAGTCCACACAAGCTTGTAATAGGCTTAGGACTAAGGGTCTGGCAAGCCAAGGGGGCACCGGCAAGGAGAACTCGAGTACCTTTTTAGAACCTAAACCGGAGAGTGCAGGGAATTAGAGCTCACCCCAAGACCTCATTCAACCCTAGGATGCTTTGTTTCCTGCTTTATTTTCTGTTCAAAGCATGCGAACTAGACAAATATGCGGCTAGGATTTGTTTGAAATTAGCATGCGGGATAGAAATCATGTATGTAGGAATATTAAGCATGTTCGGGTAGATTATCATGGGGGTAAGATTTTTTATTTTTTTATTTTGATTTACCTCACTAACCCCTTTTATTTTTTGTTCTATTTCATTTTGTTTTCATCATTCGCATAATTTAAAACGAGGTGTTGATCCACCAAAATGTGTTTAAACATGAATATCTGCATTAATGGACAAAGGGATTATAATACAAGAGATAAAAAGCTCAGAAGCCCAGCCGTGGTCAAAGATACTCGGAGGCAAAGGGTGCAGGGGCAAGACGAGGAAAATGTTACTGACCCGGAGAGTCCTTTCAAAAACTGCGAGATCAAGATGGCGAAACCCTAGCTAAGCTGGAGATCATTATTGATAATTCTAGAAACAAGTCGATAAACTTTGGGTGGAGGGATCCGATGGCACTTTCGTTTGGAACAAGCTCGACATAGAGTGAAGCCGCGATGCAGTCCTTCGAGACCTTTTGGGGGCAAGCAGCTCGTTATTTGCACATTTTAGCCAAAGGAGCCGGAACGGTTTGACAGGGTATTCAACCGGTGACAGACGAAGGCAAAAGACTAGTCAACCTATCAAAGCTGTTCGGGGTCTATGCCTTCAAAATATTTTTGTCTCTTAAGACGTAACACTTTTGCCCCAATAAGGATTATTATAATAACAGATACATTTTTGGATCAATGCCTCGAACATTTCATGCATCATGCATTCAGACATATTGTGCATTTTGTTATTTTCTTTACATTCACATTAGTTTTCCTTTTTTTACATTCACATGTCTCATCAAAAATGAGAACATTTTGATCCTATGACATATAAGGAGCTTTACCAATAGTTGTTTGACGCACACGTGGTGTCACCATATCCAGAGAAATCCATGAAGCCCCGTACCCCAGGTAGTATGATGAAAACGCTCATTGCGAAAATCATAGCAGAGTCCCAGGGCGCACTATCGAGAATTACTCCAATCAAGAGAATCATACATAAAATACGTAACAAGAATCGAATCGACTTCACAACTTGGGGGCATCCAAGTGAGGAATACCATTTCATCATTTGAGACATTTTGTTTGAATATATTTTTTCATTTTTTTCTCAAGTTTTTGTAAGGACTTTTAAATAAATTTATGTTACTTTAAAGATGTTAAACAATGAATCACTTTTGCAAACTTGCAATTCTTTGAATATCATCTGAATTAAGAAACTCTGAAATGGTTCAAAGTTACATATCTTTGACGAAGTAACATGATTTAAACAAGGAATTTGACTTTACCCAGAATATACACTCAAACACCGTACCCTGCTCTTGTAATTAACCAATATAACATTTTCCTTTCATAAGGTGCGGACAACATGGGGCATCCTTTTGCATATGACATTATTATACTTTTTATTTAAGACGTTCAGTGATGATAATGATCTTCACAGATGGAATAGTCGAGTAAGTGAATCTAGTTTAGGTCAGTTGCTTGAAAATTGAACTCTAAAGATGAAATTTTTACTTTCAACAAACACCTAGACTATAACAGGTTCTTCTTGACAATCTTAAGAAATTAAATCCGTAAAACTGAGCTATTCCACTAAGGCAATTGGTTACAGAGGAAACTCGAAATCCCTGGCTTTATGAATAGATTACATTCAAACAATGACATTGTTCGGACACTTGGCAATTCGGTGTTTGCTCCACTGCTTTTGTCAGGCTGAAGACTTTGTGATGAGATGAACCCTTCAGTTAACTTGATAAAAGTGATTATAATATTAAGTTGTCCCTCTAAAGCAATTGGTTAAACGCCCTGGCTTTATGGATTCAGCTAGCCAGATAATGGCAAATTAAATCAAATTTATCTAAGCAATAAATTTTCAGTAATGATGGACTAAGGGAGTCAAGGAACACCTGTTATAGTCAATTTCACACGAGCACTCAAGAATTTCATTTTTAGACTGATATCTTTCGCACTGCCTTTGTTGGAGGAGCCTACAAAGCTTGAACAAATGGAAGATTTCAGAGGACCGAAATAAAATGTCTAGTAAGTGGTCATTCTAGTTGCGTCATTATGTCCGCACCCAAATGAAATGCCAAAGCATATGTCGATATTTTGACATTTTGGGTTACCAAAACCTTAGAAAGGAGACCAACCTAAAGCCAACTCATCCATTTGAACACTTGTCAAAGAGCTGTAACTCTGAAAGCATTAAAAGAGCTATTGATTCCTTTGATATACTCTGAACTCATGTTTATAAGATTCAATTGCAAACAATATTTTACAGAATTTTTTATCATTTCCCTCCTAAAACAAGAAAAAGGAGAAAAACATTTTTAAACATGACAGTCTCAAATATGAAAGGTCTGTAAAGCCAAAGCTCGAGAAGCAAATGGGGCACGGTCAATTCCATGAACCAGATTGGCAGGCAAAACACAGGACTCCAGTCCAAGAGATAAAGCATCACGACGAAGGGACCGCTGGTTGTCAATAAATAACTTCCAATTTCATAGCCAATTTCACTTCACAACGAAGGATATTGGACTCCAGACAACGCAAGTTCAACTTCACGACGAAGGGACCGCGTGGTTGTCAAAAACATTTCTCATTTCAGAGCCAATTTCAACTTCACAACGAAGGATATTGGACTCCAGAAACGCAAGTTCAACTTCACGACGAAGGGACCGCTGGTTGTCAATAAACATTTCCCAATTTCAGAGCCAATTTCGACTTCACAACGAAGGATATTGGACTCCAGACAACGCAAGTTCAACTTCACGACGAAGGGACCGCTGGTTGTCAATAAACAATTTCTCAAACCCAGAGCCAATTTCAACTTCACGACGGAGGATATTGGACTTGGAATAATACAACTTACTTGGATTTCAACTTCACGAGGAAGGATATCCAATTCCAAGTCAACTCATGATGAGGGGCGGCTGATTGTCAACAAACAACTTCTCAATCTCAGAGTCAATTTCAACTTCACAACTAAGGATATTGGACTCTAGACGCAAGTTCAACTTCACGACGAAGGGACCGCTGGTAACGAACATTTCTCGATTTCAGAGTCATTTCAACTTCACAACGAAGGATATTGGACTCTAGACAACGCAAGTTCAACTTCACGACGAAGGGACCGCTGGTTGTCAACAACATTTCTCAATCTCAGAGTCAATTTCAACTTCACAACGAAGGATATTTGACTCTAGACAACGCAGTTCAACTTCACGACGAAGGGACCGCTGGTTGTCAACGGACATTTCTCGATTTCAGAGTCAATTTCAACTTCACAACGAATGATATTGGACTCTAGACAACGTAAGTTCAACTTCACGACGAAGGGACCGCGTGGTTGTCAACAAACATTTCTCGATTTCAGAGTCAATTTCAACTTCACAACGAAGGATATTGGACTCCAGACAAGTAAGTTCAACTTCACGACGAAGGGACCGCTGGTTGTCAACAAACAACTTCTCAATTTCAGAGCCAATTTCAACTTCACAACGAAGGATTGGACTCGAGACAACGCAAGTTCAACTTCACGACGAAGGGACCGCTGGTTGTCAACAAACAATTTCCCAATTTCGGAGCCAATTTCAACTTCACAGCGAAGGATATTGGACTCCAGACAACGTAAGTTCAACTTCACGATGAAGGGACCGCCGGTGTCAACAAACAACTTCTCAATTTCAGAGCCAATTTCAACTTCACAACGAAGGATATTGGACTCGAGACAACGCAAGTTCAACTTCACGACGAAGAGACCGTTGGTTGTCAACAAACAATTTCCCAATTTCGGAGCCAATTTCAACTTCACAGCGAAGGATATTGGACTCCAGACAACGTAAGTTCAACTTCACGACGAAGGGACCGCTGGTTGTCAACAAACAACTTCTCAATTTCAGAGCCATTTAACTTCACAACGAGATATTGGACTCGAGACAACGCAAGTTCAACTTCACGACGAAGGGACCGCTGGTTGTCAACAAACAATTTCTCAATTTCAGAGCCAATTTCAACTTCACAACGAAGGATATTGGACTCGAGACAACGCAAGTTCAACTTCACGACGAAGGGACCGCTGGTTGTCAACAAACAATTTCTCAATTTCAGAGCCAATTTCAACTTCACAACGAGGATATTGGACTCGAGACAATGCAAGTTCAACTTCACGACGAAGGGACCGCTGGTTGTCAACAAACAACTTCCCAATTTCAGAGCCATTTCAACTTCACAGCGAAGGATATTGGACTCCAGACAACGCAAGTCAACTTCACAACGAAGGGACGACTGGTTGTCAACAAACAATTTCCCAGTTCCAAAGCCAATTTCAACTTCACGACGGAGGATATTGGACTTGGAACAATACAACTTACTTGGATTTCAACTTCACGACGAAGGATATCCAATTCTTTGCTCAGCTTAACGACGAAGGGTCACCCGCGGTTTCAACTTCATGACGAAGGGAATCGTGCACACAAGCAACATCATCTCTAGATTGGATTTCAACTTCACGACGAGGGATATCCAACTCAAAGAAGGAGTATCTGCCAACCAAAGACTTTGAGTTTGACTAGGCTCAGCTCCAAAGCATCATTTGCAGCATAGCTTAAGTCGAGAAGGGCTATCTGCTAAAGACATTCGAGTTCGATTATATTCAACTTAGAGGCAAATCAGCTTACATAATAGCTCCAGGCAAGAAGGGTTATCTGTCAATAAAATTGTCGAGTTCGGCTCCATTCAGCCAGCGAAGACCTTTCGGGTTCGGTTTCATTCAGCTCGAGGGCCTGTCAACTACATGAGGGAGCATTCTCAACTCTACCGAACGAAAATTAGTGTCTTTATCTTTGTCCTATTTTTCGTTCCACGAAAAGGACAAAGAGGGGCAGCTGTAGACACTAATTTCTCACCCATCTCCCTGTTTTTCCGCCATGACTCCTCACAACCCTTGCACCAGATTTCTCGGCACACTCAACCACCAAGCGACAACCCTCGTCAACAACTGAATCCCGGTGATCTCGGGATTGAGTGGAAACAACCCCCCAACTCACCTATAAGTACTGCAACAGGGTAAAACAAGGGGGGGTTCTGATCCCAGGAGAAGGGAGAAGCATAAACAAAGGCAGCGGGGGGTAGCTTGGAATCGGGGGTAGCTTGGAATCGGGGGATTTTTTTCGATCTCCAAATAAAACCCACGTTCATCTTCTCGGATACTCTCTCTCTCTAACCATACGGTCGGTTGTACTCTCCAAACTTCAAGCCTCAACGCCGGCCGTCGACCCCAAAAAGCTAAGCCTCGCCAGTGCCTAATCGCTCTTCTATACGAAAAATGAAACCAAACATGGCGAGTGAAGAGCTCCTCAAGCCCTTCTACCAGAGAGCTATCGAGGCTGAGGAACGATTACCCGGACTAGATGTCGTTCTAGTGGACAACAAAGATACGGCAAAACTGGAACCTTCCTAATTAATAAGTGAATTACAGGCGAAGTTAGAAGTTGCAAATGCTGAGGCAGCTTTCTCCTAAAGAAGCCGACATTCAGACGATGTTGGTCGCCGAAGTCCATCTCGGTACCCAGAACCGTGATTTCCAAATGGAGCGTCACGTTTTCAAGCGTCACAATAATGGAATCTACATCATCAACCTTGGCAAGACCTGGGAGAAGCTTCAGTTTACTGCTCGTGTAATTGTCGCTGTCGAGAACCCTCTGGACATCATTGTCCAATCCGCAAGGCCGCATTGTCGGAGAGATATGTTGAAATTTGCGCGTACACTAGTTCCATGCATGACCTATTCGGATGCTCAAATGTTAAGGGAAATCTGTGCCACTCCAATCCTTAAGCAGGAGACACAACACTACCAGACCCATTCTCACTTTGGTCATCAACAATCTCGCATGTGCCCAGGATTTTGTTTCCATAGACGCGTCAAGCTTACGAACGATTAAATCCAGACGGAATCGAGGAAGCACTGAAATTGTTGAAAGCAAGTTTGAGCTGTCGGAGTTCTTGAAGGCAGAAAAGGGCGGTGTCTGGAAGTATATTAGAACATCATGGAATCACAAGAAGTTCTAGATGTAGAACTTTTAGCTCGTGTTTTGCAGCTAATAAATGTCACTGATAGTGGATTACCCAGTCAGGTTTCTTTTTTATGTCGTTTATGTTATTACTTTTAAAATTTTAATTTTTAATTTTAATTTTTTTCCATTTGATTTATTTAATGTTTATTATTATTTCTTATCTAACATTTTTGACTTTTTAAGATTTTTTTCGATTGATCAAAGGTAAGTAATTAGGATCGGATTTTTAAATTTCAAATTAAATTTTTCAATTTTCGCAACCAGAGACAACCGACAAATTAATTGGTACCGAAAGGGCGGTTCAAGGGTGCTAATCCTTCCTTGACCGTAACCGACTCCCGAACCCAACACGTTTCTGGTACAATGCAGATCAGGTAAGATGGTGTTCGACCCACCTAAATTCATTTTAAAGTGGTCGGTGACGACTCCAATTCGTTTAATCCAAGTCGAAGCCCAATTCCGGGGCCCAACCGAAAGATGGTTACGACAGCTGGCTTACCAGGCCCTGTGTGCTTCAGCTCGAAATTCTCATCGGCAAATTTCCCACCGTAGATTGACTCTCCCCCCGTTCCATCACCGAGTGTAAAATCACCTCCTTGTATCATAAAATGCGGAATAATCCGATGAAATGTACTGCCTTTGTAGTGGAGAGGTTTCCCCCATTTTCCGACACCTTTTTCCCCTGTAATCGAAAACCATATTAGACATTTCATCGAACACATATAGAACACCGATGAGATCAATCACTTAACCTGTGCACAGTGCTCGGAAGTTTTCTGCATATAAAGAGAAGCTCAAGCTAATCAGCAAACAATTGGTAGGAAAAACCCAGAAGATACAAACATTAAGACATCGATATGAATGATACGAAACATGCCTGTTGTTTTAGGAACCATGTTTCCAAAGAGTCCCATGACGATTCGACCTGATCGAGCAATAAACTCAGTAAATATTTTAGCTAATCTAAGCTGAGAGCAATTATAACACATTACAGATCCTATGGCATTATCCTAAAGAAGAAAAACCGAGAGCATACCGGCAGGTTTTCCTGCAATTTCGACATCGAAGTAAACTTGGTGAGTAACTTCATTCAAATCTTCCTTCGACTGTTCTGCCAGAACATTAAATAAAAAAGAAAACCCAACAATCAAAATCAACTGATTGATTCATAGATCAAGCACCCATTAATAGACAGAACATGGGACTGAAGGCAAAAGTAAAATAAAAGAGAAACCTGGGTGAGTGTAAGAGATCCAAAAAGGACCAGAGTGAGAAAAAGCAAGCTTGATCTCTCCATCCCTTTGCTCTTTTTGACTTTAAGCTGAAGCTGAGAAGCTCTTTCTTCGATTTATCAACAGCAAAAGAAAGCCGTCGATGACTATAACCAATGGCTGTTTGCCACGTGGTCTTAATGAATAATGATTACTTAATTAATTTTAGGATAAGCTATATAAATCCTTAGTATGATTGTGTAACTTTTCGTTTTTCTCAAGTTTTAAAAATTGATAAATTAGTATTAATGTTATTGATTTGTAATAAATTATTTATTTGATATTAACAATCGTTAACGTAGATGATAGAAATTTTTTTTAGCTCGTTAATTGCTTACATGGATATTGACCGTCACGTTGGAGAGCTCATTGAACAACGTTTCAATTAATTTTGAATTTAATTTTGGGTAAATTATACAAATGATCATTAATATTTAGCTAAATTTTGTTTTTTCCAAAGAAGTTTCAAAAGTAATAAATTGATCACTAACGTTATCGATTTGTAATAAATCGATCACTCGACGTTAGCAACCGTTCATAAATGAAGAAAAGCTTACCTAGCTCGTTAATCACTTACATGGATATTGACCACCACGTTGAAGAACCCATGTACATGCACTTCAACTAATTTCGAATTTAATTTTGGGTAAACTACACAAATGATCATTAATATTTAAGTAATTTTTTGTTTTTCTCAAAGAAGTTTCAAAAGTAATAAATTAATCACTAACATTATCAATTTGTAATAAACCGATCACTCAATGTTAACAGTCATTAACGTGAGTGATGTAAAGCTTACCTAGTCCATTAACTGCTTACATGGACGTTGATCGCAACGTTGGAGAGCCCATTCACCTGCACTTCAACTAATTGCAGTCACCTTTCTATGTCTCCCTTAATTTTTTAAATTTAATTTTTTTCCATTATTTCTTTATATAGAATAATTGCATAAGCCCACTCCAATACAAACCCCTTCTTTCTATCTTCACTATTAGGGATGAGCATGAGTTGGTTTTTTTTTCCACTCGACCCGATCCGAGAGCAAGGGGTCCTCCACTCGAGACTCGACCTGATCCGACCAAAATAAAATTTTATTTTTTTATTTAATAAAATCCCGACCTGATATATAACTTAAAAATCTGATCCGACTTGACATGATTTAATTTTTTATTTAATAAAAACCCTACCCGACTTCAAATTGAATGTCGAACTAAGCTGGCATTCCTATGCCCTTGTCACTTTGGGTTCATGCATTTCGTTTTCCAAGTCCAATAGATGCATATGTCAATGGAGATCTTATCATTTCCTCGTTAACCAAAGGCAAGGCATTTCCACTCAATTTCAAAAATACGTCTTCTACAATCAGAAACAAAAAAGAATCCAACCGCAGCAATCACTACAACTGGGATGACAATTTCAATGGCATGAAATATTCATCTTCCTCAATTTGCCATGATAATAATATGAAGAACTAAAGACCACCCAAGAAATAAGGAAAAAATATGAAGCTCTATCGATTTTCCTCCAAAACCCACACTCCCAATACAGATCAAACTCAACACCTAACAACTCAACAAGGAAACAATTTTATATAATTTCCACCTCAAGATCAAGATCAGATGATTTAGTTAGCATCCAAATGAAACAATATTAAAAGGAGATCGCGAAGAAGGAATCCTTCCTCAGGAGCCATCTCAGTAGAAGGAGGAAGCACACAACACACACATACAGAAAGAGAGAGATACCGAGATATCTGAAGTAGAGAAATGGGAAAGCGAGTCGCTGCGTCATTGGCTCAGTGGATCGAAGCCTCAAACCCTCGGTGAAGAATTTACAAAGGGAATTACAAAGGGAATTAGGGCTCTGAGTTCGATTTCTTTGCATAATTTGAAAGAGAGCGAGAGGTAAAACTCGTCGCCGACTCAGTGCTTATGTGTTTCAAGCCTTGAAGGAGATGGCATGCTGAGCCCGAAGCAATAAAGCATCGAATTAGGGAAAGTAAAAAATTAAAAAAATAATAGTAATACATTAACTATTCAGGTCCGGTAGTATTATTTTAACTCTAAATTCGACTTTGACTCGAATTCAAATATTTTAATATAAAATCCGACAAGAATCCGATTTTTTTTATAAAAAAACCCGACCTGATCAGGTCGGATCGAGTCAGAACTCGTCGGGTTCGGATTATCCCTTTTCACAACCATCTAAAGTCAACGATTTTGTTGTGTCTTTATTTTCTTCTCTATCTTGCTATTGGAGCATGCTGAAAAAGGTACAAGTTGCCCATGGAGGTTGATTAAGATTTATACGCGGTGGAGAGAGGTTGCGCCACTGTTACGACAACCAGCAGAAGCGACGGCGTTGCAACTAGCTCTTTCATGGCGGGTTCATATCCTATACGTGGCAGATGCAGGCTTTGCCCTAAAATTCGAATTTATTGATGTTAATAGTTCATTTTACTAAAAAGTCTACACATTCAAATTTTATTAGTGTCTACCTCATGTAAAAAATTTATATTATTAATATATATGTAGGTCTAAAAAAATATTTCTGATCCACCGGCTTTCCATCATTTGTTAGTAAGAGCCTTTTCGGGTTTAGTTCTTATCTTTTCTAAATCAGTTTGAAGCTGAAAATATTGCGGAGGAATTGCATGAGCTTTACAAGCCTTTCTTTCCTAAATCTCAACAACTTCCTTCACAGAGAAAACAACAACAAGAACATCAACTCAAGCCTAAGCAGTCTCACGCTGGCTCTCTAGCACAAAAAGTAATAACTAGAACCACAACCATTCAACGTGATTGGAAATGCCAAGGATTGAAGACCTCTGGGACATGTAAGTGAATGGTTGTCCCTTGTTCCCATATGTAATGGGATAAGGGGAGGTAAGATAGTAGGCTGCTCCCAACATTAGGATGAGAGCAATTTCCATAGGAGACTTCTAAATTATGAAATGCCCTCCAAGTGACTCGATCCCACGACCTCAAGGTTAAGATCCTTGTGCTCTACCAACTGAGCTAGATGGTCATTTCAGGAACATGTAAGTGAACAATACTTTAATTAAGGTTGTTCATGTCCCTTTTGATGACCAAGTAACAATGGCAACAATGTATCTTTCTGGGGATGCGAAGCTGTGGTCGCGGCCACGCATGAGAATGTTGTATGGCTCGCACGGGTGCCCTTGATGCAGACCGACACTGTTCGAGAAAATTAAAGCAGACCATGGGGACTGACCTGAGCTATTAACGACAACACATATTAGCCAATAGACATATTGGAAAGATCTTGAAATTATGAGCAGCGGGATGGAACCTTACCAGAGTCGAAGCCATGGTAGAGATTCGAGCGATGATGATGAAGAAAAACAAGTCATATTAGCGGGATGCTGGGATAGATCGAAGGGTGCACTTGCACCTTTAGAAATTTTAAATTCTCTTATAGTTTAGGTTTTTTTTCTTTATATTTTTTATTGATTATTTAATTTTATATCCCTAAAATTTTATAATTTCGCATTCTTAAAATTTTTAACATCATTTCTTAAATTCACAACCATTTGCAACCAAACATTAAAGTCGGTAAGGAATTTTTAAACGAGAAAATAACCTCAGTGACCAAAAATCCCATATAATATACGATTTTAACCAACTTTTTCCGGATTTGCCAAAATGACCAACAAAATCGCAATGCGATCGCTAATTCGCAACGCGATCTCCATTATCGCAAATTCGCGTTGCATTTTCGCAATGCGATAGTTGAAAATCGCGTTGCGATGGTCTACAGTATCGTTGCGATTTTCCCAATTCGCAATGCGAATAAGTAAATCGCAACGCGAATTGGGAAAATCGCAATGCGAATAAGTAAATCGCAACGCGAATTGGGAAAATCGCAATGCGAATAAGTAAATCGCAACGCGAATTGGGAAAATCGCAATGCGAATAAGTAATTCACAGTCGTAACTTCCTCCTCATTATCATCAACAACATCTTCCTCGGCAACGGGTGTTTCATCATCAAAATTCGGGTATTGACCAATATCAAAATCATTACACGCAGGGTCTGTTTCTTCTGAAACATCATCAAATCCGTATTGACCAATATCAAAGTCCGGGTATTGACCAAGATCAAATTCGAATACTGACTAGTACTCACATTTTTTCTCTTGGCTCATCATCGTCTAATTGGTCAATACGAAAACCGGAATTTGGTGCTGAAAGTTGATTTGGATTTGGATTAGAGAAAGGCTGTGGGTTTTTGACCCACTTAGTTGATTACTACCCGCTACTGACCAACAATACTACTTCTAGGTTCAACAACATACAATGTATCATCATCGTCTAATTGGTCAATACGAAACCGGAATTTGGTGCTGAAGTTGATTTGGATTTGGATTAGAGAGGCTGGGGTTTTTGACCCACTTAGTTGATTACTACCCGCTACTGACCCAACAATACTACTTCTAGGTTCAACAACATACAATGTAACATCATCACTTGAAACATTAATGTAAGCAATGAATCGTTCAACATCTTCATTGTCGGTTAACAAATAAACTTTACCATTTCTCTGATAAGATAGCCTAAATCCACTTAGGGGCTCTAAATTCAATTTCTTTGAAACACGTAACATTAGGGTTTCATAAGTTAACTTCTTTAATGACAGTTTTAGTTGAAGATTCATGGTAAAGGCAATATTGTAAAACACCATGAACATTCTCCCATGACCCTCCAAAACACAAATCTATCCAAACATGATCAACATTAGATGATTTCATGGTTGTAACTAAACAAACGAGATGCGAAACTAAGACCTGTTGCCGGATGGGGAAGGATGTCGTTGGATATTGGAACGAATGTCGCCGGAGAGAGTGATAGATGGAGATGGAATGAGTTGCGATTTAGGTTATGAGTTGTTGCTGCTGCGTATATATATACACTCAAAATTTGGCTTGCGAAACTAAAACCTGTTGCAAACTTTGAAACTCGCATTGCGATTCTGTATTATCTCGTTGCGAAAGTCAGAATCGCGTTGCGAAAGGCATCATTTGACCATCGCAATGCGAAATGCAAATCGCAACGATAGAATCGCAATGCGAAATGAAAAAGGCAACGAGGATTAACATGCATAAACTTTTAACAATTATTAATTCTAGGTACTTAACCAAACATTTCAAACCAAAGGAGTATATATGTTAACAAAACTTGCATTATGTGTATTTTATGTGTGCACTTTTAACATTTCAGTTAGGCATGTATTAGTAACTTGAGTTTGAACATTGCTATGATCTGTTCAGTTGTCATCACTTATTAGACATTCATTTGACTATCGCAACGCGAAAATGGCTATCGCAACGCGAAAATGGTTATCGCAACGAGAAAATCGCAATGCGAAATGAAAATCGCATTGCGATTTTCTCGTTGCGATTTTCATTTCGCATTGCGATTTTCATTTCGCATTGCGATTTTCATTTCGCATTGCGATTTTCATTTCGCATTGCGATTTTCTCGTTGCGATAGCCATTTCGCGTTGCGATAGTCTGTTTTGCCTTCAACATAAAGCAGATTGAAAATCAACAAATCAACTATTACATTTCAACACAAATTATGTACACATCAATTAAACAAATCAAGATTTACAAATCATCTTACAAATCAATTAAACAATCAAAAAATAATAATATTCTTATTCTTCATCAATTATTGAATCAATGAATCAACAACTTTGTGACCCCGTACATCCATTTCACGCAGCTCACTTAAGGATTAACCTGCAGAAACCAAACATTTGCTCAAACAAGACTTCCTACACATCTAAAACCTACAAACAGCAAATTATTGAATTCTAGGTACTTAACCAAACATTTTCAAACCAAAAGGAGTATATATGTTAACAAAACTTGCATTTGACTTACCAATTAACAATGGACACTTTCATAACGCGGATGCAGGTAGGCATCGTCTCGAATATATTGCTCTAGCCATATAATGCCGAAACCACAAGCCTACTGCAGCTCTATCTCTATCGGTGGGAGGTAAAAACTCTATGCTTCCCGTCGTCAAACGCGCCAAGCAAAGGCATACGAGAGGACCACAATCCCCTCTGGCTCCCGGCGATTGCTGTGGCGCGGTCTCGTCTCTGACAACTGTGACATTGAACTTCTTTGGCTTCTTGTGTCCAGAATGACTCCAATACTTAATCTCATCCAAGAATTTAGCCAAATGAGAGCTCCATCCCTTGAAAATATCTCTCAAATCAGACAGTGATATGTAATTGATCATGCTGTCATACACTATTATCTTCAGGGATGGGAGCTGAAGTTGGACGAAGCCAGTGACGACGTTCCAAACAGGGATAAACACCTGCTATCATAAGTATAATTCATTTATTTGCGCACTTATTTATGAACACCTTTAAAAAATTTAAAAAATAAACACTAACCGTATCGACCTCCCACCATGCAGGATAAAGTTTAGCTTGTCCATTGCCCAACAAAAATGATTCATCTCGTTGATTCTTCAAGTGAACTGCGTGAAAAGCCGTTGGCATTATTGTATATAGCGAATTTTTTTTATTTTTCCTAAGCTTCCTTATTATTAGTAGACGTGACACCCAACTATCGCATTGCGAAAATGCAACGCGAATTTGCGATAATGGAGATCGCGTTGCGAATTAGCGATCGCATTGCGATTTTGTTGGTCATTTTGGCAAATCCGGAAAAAGTTGGTTAAAATCGTATATTATATGGGATTTTTGGTCACTGAGGTTATTTTCTCATTTTTAAACGGGTAGGTTTTACAACCATTTGCAGACTGAAATTATTCATTAAAAAATTGAAAAAAATTAAATTTGAAAAGAAGTGAAGTTAAGAGGGAGAGAAAGGTAGGGGGTGTTCAATTGTTTGGTTCCGTAAACCGAAGTATTTAAATTTTATTAACTAATTTTTTTCTCTTTTAACAGTTAATCAAACTGAAATTTTTTCAAAAAAATTTAATCGAATCGAATAAAATTCAGTTAATTCGGTTGGTTAACTGATTAACCGAAATTTATTATAAAATGAATTTTATTTATCTTTTAGGGTTTAAGTTAATTGGATATTTAATATTTAATGGGTTTGGGTTAAACAAATTAGGTTTGTAATGGGTCTAGATTTGGGCAGATTAGGCTAAAAATATATAAATAATATATATAATATTTAATATTTAATAATTTTAGTTAATTCAATTAATTAACCGATTTCAAACCGAATCAAAAGATAACCGAATTTTGAAAAAATCATTAACCGTTAACCGACCGAACCTAAAATTAACTGATCGATTAACTGAATAAATTTCGATTCGGTCAGTTTAATCAGTTAACTAAAATTTTAAATACCCCTAAAGAAAGGTGGCTGCAATTAGTTGAAGTATCAGTTAATGGGCTCTCCAGTGTGACGACCAATGTCCAGGTAAGTGGTTAATAGGCTAAGTAAACTTTATGTCACCCACATTAGCCATTAACTCAACACACCTTGTAGATGATCTGTTTAAATCCATGATCTCTAAGGAGAACAATATTATCTTTAACCACTGAGATCATCTAATAGTTCAAGTATCTTAAATCATTATTTTGATATGGTTACGATTTATAAATATTAGAGCTATATTTTGTAACTAGTCCTTACCCTATTATTTTAATATTTAAACTTGACTTGTATTATAACTTAATACTGGGAAAAAATATTTTATGGACCCTTTTCTTCAAATCAATGATCCTAACCAATTAAAAGAGTTCATATCAATCTTTTCATGTCATTTATACACTAAGGGATTGTTTGTTTACTTCAGAATGATTAAGCGCTGAATGATTCAAATGCTGAATAATTCAGAGGCTCTGCATGAATTAGCTCTGAATGTGACATGTTGTTTGATAATGACGCTGAATCATTCAGAATGTATTTTGATGCTGAATCATTCAGCATTGTTTTGTTGAATCAGTCAGCACTGAATCATTTAGAGGTAAGAAACAAACACGCTGAATGCTGAACGGTTCAGCATTCAGCGCTGAATGGTTCCATTCAGAGCCAAACAAACATCCCCTAAGATTTTATTATTCAAATCAATATCTTCATTTAATGCATATGACAATTAAAATTAAATTAAATTTCTTCAAATCAAAAACCGAGTACAAACATTGGTTATGTCATGGATCCGGTGAAGATTAAATAAATTGGTTCAGACAAAATAAACTTTATATGTATTGTTGTGTTGGAGAAGAGAAGAGAAGAGAAATGAAAATAATCTCTAAATTTAATTTTAATTGTGACATTAAGAAATTGATTTAGAAAATAAAGTCTTAGTTCATAAATGACATGGATTCTTTTAATTGATTGGAACCACTGAGGATGTGGTGGAAATGATTCATAAAATCATCATAAATTGCAATATGGCTCTCCATTACTTTCCAAAAATAAAGATAATATACACCACTAGAAAATAAAATTAAAATATAACTATATAGGAAATAATTTATATATAAAAAAATAGTTTGTTATGTTTAAAATTCTCATCTTGACCCTTAATCTTTAAAATTTAAAAATTATTAACTAAATAATATAATTTTTCAATTATTCATGTTTACAATTTTTAAGGGCCAAATAGTAAAAATTATAAACATAAAAATTTAAAAGTTATTTTATCTTTTTACAATTACTAGATTAATAAATAACGACAAAAATTTAACAAAAATTAAAGAAGTGATCAATATTTTTAAATAAAAATAATATAGAGATTCAATGTCGAAAAATTAAAATGCAGTAATTTTCAAAATAATACAAGTACCATGGTTATATTTAAACTAAATATAAACTAAGACAAATTATGCGTTTAATACCTAAACTATCAGTTTTGGTCAATTTTAGTACCTAAACTTTCAATTTTTTTCAAAATCATACATGGCGTTTAATTTTTGTTTCATTTTATTACCCGTCGTTAAAAACGCATTTGATACCCAAACTATCAGTTTTGGTCTGTTTTAGTACCTAAACTTTTCATTTTCTTTTCCAAAACTTAAGTATGATTTGGGTACTAAACGTGTTTTGATACTTAAACTTCAACACTTAATTTTTGGTACTAAAAATGAAATAAAAACTAAACTTTAAGTATGATTTTGAAAAAATTGATAGTTTATGTACTGTATGCGTAGTTTACCCTATAAACTATTTGACCCAATGTGACAAAATGATTAAACCTATGGTTTTCCTTGTCAATATAAAAGCCACTAAAATTATCAAATGTTATCCATATGCAATTTGACTCTTTTTCGAGCACCTCATATTTTATGTTTAACAAAAGCTATACGACAGAAATTTCGAAATAGAATCCAACAAACCAAAAATCCAGTCTTGAAAGACCATATTTTTATTACCAGTTATCTTCCTGTCCAAATAGATTATCAAAGGATGGCTCTAAAAAGCTGTTTCCAGTTGAGCTCAATTTGCAGCACCAGAGCCAGTGTGCTTCAAAGCTTCCATCATCATTCTTCTTCATCTGTTGAGAAGATCCATTTGCAGGCATTCGGTGGGTTGAAATTCAATAAACCCAGTTTATCATTCACTGGTAGTGGTAGATCCCAAAGTTCCAGGCTTGTATGCAAAGCTAGTGATGTTGTTGCTCAAAGTAAGGATTTTTTTTTTCTTACATGTTTACTCTTTTTGAGTTCATCTGGAGGAAACTCCAGAGTTATTATCTGTGATTTGCAGTTGAGGAGGTGAAAGAAGATAACTGGGACAAGCTTGTCGTCGGCAGTGACAAACCGGTTTTAGTCGATTTTTGGGCGCCATGGTGCGGACCCTGTCGGGTGATCGAACCAGTCATAGCTGAATTAGCCAAGGAGTATGCTGGAAAGATTGTTTGTTACAAGCTTAACACCGATGAATGCCCGAACATTCCGACGAAATTCGGGATCAGAAGCATCCCGACGGTGCTGTTTTTCAAGAATGGAGAGAAGAAAGAGAGTATCATTGGTGCAGTGCCCAAGGGTACCATTGTAGCTACAATTGAGAAATATATTTGATGCCTGAACTCTACATGGTTTTACTCATGCCATGTTTTGTCAGTTTCTTTATGTATAATCCATTTCAAATGACGTAAGTTATGTAATTTATCATCATTCCACTTTGTCATGTCCCCAATGCTTGTGCAGTAAAAGTAGAATATAATCACGGAAAACAAATTAATAGGAAATTGGAGCAACTTCAAATTTGCTTTTAACATTTCATTGTTAGAACACTATGCTATATGTTTCACTTTGTCTGAAATTAGTACACAGTGGGAGGGAAGACCTTGATCTATCATATAGTGAAATCAAAGAAACCCAACAGGTTTGTTTTTGCACATCCTTTTCTCATGGGGAAGGTTTCCAATCAAATTGACAGTTATTAAAACCATTAACTGCTCCAAGTCCATTGAATAGCTGGTTCCCCATGTCCTGTTGTTGGTGGTTCATGAGTTGATCCCGAGCCATCAGCGCCATACCGATCCTACCGTTCATGAAGGGGTTATTTCCCATTGTTGCTCTGATTCCATTCATTATAGCAGACTGGCTGAGTCCACCACTCATCGAACCAAACCCAACGCCACTAACTGGATTATTGTTGTTGATGACCCCGTTGCCGATCAAAGTGTTGCCGCCATTGAGAACTGTACTGTTGCTTGGTGGTAGCATTCCGTTTAAGCTCTTCGTATAATTGCTTAGAGTGCCGGCGCCAACCATGCCACCAGCATTATTAAGTTGGCTAGACATTATTTCATGAATGATTTTCTGAACGGAGCTTTGCGATTCGTTGGGGTCAGCCACACCAGAAAGAGCTGGCTGCTGCGTGGGCATGTTCATTGCTGGAGAATTTGTGGAACTCATATGACTTGAAGCTACTAAGGAACCATTTGGAGCTTGAGGAGGATTATTAGATGAGGAGGGTGTTGGCGACTGAAACGGAGAAGGATTCGATTGTGCTTGTGTTTGAGGTATTGTGGTAGAGGAACCTGGTGATGGAATCTGAAGAGAGTTTCCACCATAGGGACTGCTTGCATTATTCATAGAATTCTGCTGCCTGGAGCTCATGGAATTCTGGTGTAGAGGCCCAGCAATGGTGCCGGTAGATGTCGATGCAGATGCTACATTAAGCGAGTTATTCATATTAGCAACACCATTGTTAGCAGCAAACTGCATCCCAGAACCCTGGGCATTACTTTGATCACCATTAGAGCTCTGGGCCATCATTTGCTGTTGTGGTGTCTGCTGATGCTGTTGTAGCTGTTCCTCGGACTGTTGAGCATGAGCATGAAAACCAGATGAAGTGCTTGTTCTTCGAGGGAACTTAGCCAAACTCTCTGCAGAAAAACAAAATAAATGCGATAACCGTCCAGCTAAGAAATCATACAACCAACACAAGAACAAATGAATCTGAAGCTAAGCTTGTAAAGTTCTTATGTCTCTCACTATTTGCAAAATGCACACACACTATTTTCAATGGTATAGCTAAACGAACACATCGAGTTGTTGATTAGCCAGACACCAAGAACCCTTTCACAGTGCAAAATCTAAAACGTAAGAAAATATCAGGCGACCACAAGCTGATAGTCAGCGAGCTTACTGAACTCCCATTGAAATTAGGTTAAAGGTAAACTGATACAAAAATAGAGGTTACTAGAAACTCTGTAGAGCAATCATAGGATGCCCGGACCGGTACTTTCAAGTGTTTAGAAGTATATTTAAAATGAAAAAGCCGATGAGAAAATAAAATAAATTTAGCAAAGTAGATATTGTCAAAACTTACCCATGGGTCCCGTCCTCGTTTCTCTACTGTAATCAATTAAGTCTTTCATGCTATTAACCACTTCAGATATCTGTTGAAACCCCATCAAAATAAGGAAACAATTCACGAGACCATACGCATTTCAAGAGTAAAATTCTTCATAGAAATACAACTATAAAGCTTGAGTTCACATTTTAGTTTTTCCCATTGTCACTCGTAACATATAACATTTTGATGAGGCAAATACATTCAATATGGAGCCAAAAGAACTAGATAAAATTGTAGAAATCAGTAATTTGTAGAAATCACCTGAAGGCACCGCACGTATCTCTTTGTATAACCCAAATCATTTACCAATGGCACTTCCAAGGCTTTAGCCAATTGCCGAGCTGATGCTACAAACCTAATGTTCATTCATGGCTAATTAGAAACCCAATCATGTAACATAGATCACACTATTTGACAAATAGAAAAGTAGACAATATACTGCAAGTTGGTTTCATATTCCCATCACCCAAGTATGTGGATGTGAGTGAGAGACCAAGACCCTAACTAGGATCTATGAGACTTTTCATTTATGACCTTTATCAAACCGAATACTAAAGGACATACAAGTTACAGTTATTCTGCAAATCTGGAGCAGATAAATTTGTTGATGCGTTTTGAGTAGCAGCTTGATACTTTTGAGCTGCGGCCCCATGCTGACTAACCTGTACCAACCAGAATAACCATCAAATACAACGAAATAGTGTATAAACAGAGATCATACAAAATAATAATTTGCTTCATAATATAGGGAAATAACAAGAAAAATAAGATGATTCAGTATCATCATTGGTATGTTATTTTCTAGACCACAAGAAAAGTGCTAAAGGAAGATTTCATGCAGCCGATCATAAAATAGAAAACATCCTAACTTCTTGATTGATAATCTTTATAAAAGCAGAACATAAAGAAACGATGATGGATCTCCCGTTCTTAAACTCAATCAACAAGTCACCATAGATTTCATGCGGTCCAAACATACAATGCACAAAGGTCAATAGCATATATCAGGCATTCTCAAGCTAGAGATACTAATAACCTGAGGTATCAATAATCTTCTAGGGATGAGTTCTTCATGACGCCGGGCACAAAATTCCCAAGAACATATCTGGTGAAAAAGAATAAAAGACCCAAAACTTTGTCAATGATACCCCAAAATGTTCAAAACCAATGAGAACTCATTACTTCAATATGCAACCTTCAGATCTGGTGAGAAAACTATCCGAAGCTGACCATCACGAACAACACGAAGTTGCTCAAAAACACTTTCTTGTATTGCTTTTGCATAGTCCAAGACAATTTGGCCAGATGAATTCTGATACTCACGGGGCATATCAACATAAAGAAGTTCTTCTATAGTACCACTTTCATATTTAATCTTGAAAAGCCTAGGGAGAACCTCAGCAGTTGCCTCTGAAAGCACAATAGGAAGATATTAATATACAGAATGGATAAATTAGCCTCAAGAAACCAAAATATACCAATTTATGCAAGAATAAGATGACATTTAAGTTTGTTGACACCCCATAAGCACTAATACATAGTAACAACAGTAATATACAATGGAAAACTTATACACTAACTATATCCTGAAAGAAAGATGAACAACAATAAAAAGGGAGAAAAGAAAGAAAAATGCATACCAAAACCACGTCCAGGCTTCCGATTGCATATTTCACAGTGCCATACACCCTGTAACATTTCTACAGCAGTGTAAACCTCCTTTACATTAATAGTTAGTTATTAAAAACAGAAAAATATAAAAATATAAAGATTACTCAAACCAGTAGGAAATTTTCATCTATTAGGTGAGCAACAAACAAAGATATGAAGTTCTAAAGATGATGGCTTCATTCAATTACATAAGAATGGAAATTGAATAAGGTTCAGAATCAGAAGACTTGGCAAGTTTTAACCAGAAGCAGACCTGAGGGAAAACGCCAGTTGTTTGGCGGCCACTTCCATACAAAGAAACACACCACTTCTTTTTGGCATTTGGCGCAAAGTACTCCGCAACAAATTTTCTCCAAAATTCAACATTGTTGTCCTACACAGAGAACAGGAATGTTACATCCACAAAGCCACTCAATGCACGAGGAAAAGATCTTCAGACCATGGAGATCTTACTTCAGGTCTATGTTGTTGCTGATACATGTAATGTGTGAGACGTCGGGCACACATCCCGGGCTCATATGCTGATTTCACAGGTAATTGTGACCTTTGTTGAGGCATCGCTTTCAAAAGTTTCTGTTGGTGTTGTTGCTGTTGAAGCTGCAAGAGTCTTTGTTGATGCAAAAGATTAATTTGGCCGGTAGCAGTTTGCGGAGACTGCCGTGACATTTGGAGTAAATGCTGCTGTTGCAAAAGCAATGACTGATCTGAATGTTGAGGTTCCATTTTCACCTGTGCCAAAGTTCTTGTAGGCTGGATTTGTTGTGGTTCCAGTTTAACAGGAACAAGATTTCTAAGTGATTGCAACTGCTGTTGCTGTTGCTGCTGACCATGCTGATCATTAGCCAGTTGTTGTGGCTCCAATTTGACAGCTCCAACACCAGCCAAGCCTCCTCTAATAGATTGAAACTGTTGTTGTTGCTGCTGCAGCTGTCCTTGTTGGGTGTTGTGAGGCGCAGAGACTTGTTGCATTCCTGGTTGACCATGTTGGAAATGTTGTGACTCAAGTTGTTGGGACTGCTGTTGATCCGGTAAAATAAGGTTCCCGGAAAGGTTTGAAAATTGCTGGCCTTGAACTTGACCAGATGATCCAGGGTTTGCCATGTTCGATGGCACAAACGGCGATGATGGGGCATTAAATCCCATCCCAGTACCTACATTTGAAAGTGGATCGGATTCAGCCCCTGGGTCAATTCCTCCACGCTGAGTGCTCCCAGGACCAGAAACCTGAGGCTTCGAACCCCCATTCCCGAATGACTGATTAAGAAGGGAAGACACATTAGGCACATTCCCAAACATATTCATATTGCTAAACTGAGTTCGAGGGGACACTAAAGAAGGGAACCCGGACTGAGAAGGAAGACGGAACAGACTGCGCACCACCTATAGGAGTAGAAGGCCCCAAAGGCACCATGTCTCAAGAATCACTACCTAAAACTCACTCACAAAACTGTAACAACTATCTAAAGAAACTACTGTTACAGAACAAATCACAAAAATACAGCCGTAGAGCTCGAAGAAACAGCATTTCATCCCCAACTTGGCTGCTTTCAGCTTCCCACTCCTCATTGTGCACAAAAATCAAGGAGTCGGTTCTGTGCCTGACCATATAGCTTTCTGTTCCACAATACAAGCTGCCCCAAGAAGGAGCTCTGATTCTGAGCATTCTAACATTACAGACAAGCACCAGTCGAAAGGCCTTCGCATGAATTCCTATAGAGAAAAAGAACACACGAGAATCTTCAGATCCACTATAACATAAATCATCTGGAAAAAATAGTAACAATTAGCGCAAAAGCAATTAATGTTTTCAACCAAAAAAGAATGTTAACTTTAGATTCCAATAAGCATAGAATCAAACTCCACTCAAATCTTTAAAGAAAAACCCAAATCTCAAAAACTAACAAATTTCATCAAAATCCAACAAAATTTGACTTTAATTTAAAATAAAGCCACAAAAATCCTCTTACCAAGCTCAATTTTTTAACCTCCAAAACTCCCCACCCAAAAATTTATTAGAAGGAAAAAACTAATGCTCAACCAAATACATTAAGAACAACCAACTAAACTCGATCCAGCCACTAACAGCACAACTCAATGATCCAGACATAAACCCAGAAAAGATAAAAGAAAAATAACAAAAGGGTCAAAGCTAAAAAGACTTTCAGAATACTTACCAGAGTTTAAGAAAAACCCATTGTTACTGTGAAAAGATAAACAAAGAAGGGACAAGAAAAAAAAAAGAGAAGAGGAAGTTTCCCAAATCTCCCAAACTTTGATTTCAACCAAAACAAACCCAAAACAAAAATACCCAAATTGTCTTTTGAACTCTCTTTCTCTTCAATTCTTTTACGTTTTGCTTCAATGAACTGAAACAATTAATATGGTTTTACTCACTTAACCAGAAAAGAAAAGAAAAGAAATAAAAAAAGAACTTCTCTTTGCTCGTCTCTTAAATCAATTTTCCTTTTCTTGTCTCAGTACGTGCCCTGTTCTTCTTCGGCTTCGCTGTGTCTAGAGAGAGTGTATTTTTATTGTCATTTGCGGACGTCAAAATTGCATTCCATTAGATTGAAATTTCCTTCTTCTTGTTTTCTCCTTTTCATTCCCTTCTTAATTTACACGGGGGTTGTGGTGGTGGTTGCAGGCGCATGTATTCATCAAATCCATCCATCAATCATCATGGGGATGATGGGATATATGAACGTTGCACTTGTTTCGTTGCATGTATATTGTAATATTTGATTTTAATTTTAATTATATAAATATGATTAAATATGTTATTGTAAGGATTTTTTTCTCTCTCTCTCGTTGATAAGACGTTTATTCTTAGTTGTTTTTTAATAGTTTGATTTTGTTTTAGTTTATTTATCGATGTAATCAGATATGTTTGTATTTATCTTTGTTTGAATTTTCTTGATTATGTTTTAATCTTTCCTTGTATGATCATTATGTGATCTTAAATTATTAGTTTTGTTTTAATGATTATAGAAAATTGTACTAATTATATCCTTAATTTACGATTATGATCGTAAATCTTTACAATAATTTATGATATTTTATATTTAAAATAAAATTAGTGATTTCTATAAAAAAAAATAATTATATAATATATTAAATTATATTTATATTTTTGAATTTATTTTGTATTAACTAATTTTGATTTTAATAGTACAAGATTATAACTAATATTTTTTTTAAAAATGGTATCGGATCCAATGGTGTGACTTTCTATTCAATGGATTATTATATAGTAAGTTTCCTCCTTAATATATGGTATTCAAAATTACCATATTTAATGAGATTAGGGGAAAAGGAATGAATATACATAGAGATATTAATTAATTAAAATATTTAAAATTGTCTATATATTCACAATTATATTTAAAAACAAAATATAATCATTAAATGAAATTATTATGATTAAAAATATATAATTTTCGATCAATCCAGGTGTCTAAGGTTACAAACGTTATCATTTTAAATGTCTCAGCCATAACGACCGTTAAAAAAATTCGTTAAATAATCACATTTATATAATTTTGAAAATTTCATTCAAAATAAAAGAAAACTTAAAATTATATTTGTTAAAAAAACCAAAATTTTCTCAAATATAAAAAACTTAAAATGTAACACCCTCAGTCCAATGCGGGTGACCCGGACCGATCTGAGGTGTCACATTAGGGCCACTGTAACAATCCACAGTAAAAATCCAGGAAAAAAATTAATTTTTTTGTCAAAACGTGGAAATCATAAAACAATTTATAATTAAAATACAAGTATAGAAAACCAATCATAGATTAAAAACGAAATTAAAATCATACAAGTTTCAGACTCAATATATATATATATAAATCAAATGTGACCTACATGCCCTCTAATTACACATTGTACCGTACTCTGCAAGCAAAACCGAAGGAACACCTAATACTGATGTCAGTAAAAGCACATGATAAAACTCTTTAACATGAAATGGTAAGTAACAGATTGAGCTTTGGAAAGCTTAGTAATACAGAACTACCATATTAATGCAATAGGTCATCGGGTATACTGTAAAGCATAAATTCCTTAGCGGGACCGTTATCATCATTTCTAGCTGTGAATTCAGATTCCATTAGATAAGTCTTCAATTACAAATAGGAATTTATGGTCTGAAGGAAGTATTCAGAGAGACACAGATTCAGAAGATTGAATTGAGGAGTCTAGTGTGTTCAACAAAATAGAGAAATATGTACATATCCTTAAAAACATTAGTAGTTTAAAACATATTTTAAAATCACAGTAATACCCTTCAATCGAACATCGATATGCAATTTTTCCATAACTGCATCCATAAGGACTTACCCTAAGCACACAACAAAAGAGCTACCCTAAGGGAGTACCTTAGGGCATATGGGCCTACCCAAGGGTCTCCTTAGGTCTGTAAGGATTTGCAAGCTTGATCAGAGCTGAACCTCCGTACTCTAGACTCCTACCCATACAATATTTAGTAGAAATCATATTGAGTAGTAACTTTAATATCAAAATCTTGATCCATTAGAATATTGTAAAAATAATAATGTAGCTATTTAAATCACATGAATGCCCTCCATCCGTACTCTAAAATACAATCCCTATACTAAGGGAGTACCTTGGGGCCTTAGAGCCTACCCAAGGAATACTTTAGGTCCGTAAAGAATTACCAGCTTGATCAGAGCTGAACCTTCATACTCCTGAATCATACTCAAGCAGTATCCCATAAATCGGTTCATATAGTAAATAGTAGATTCTATGATTCATGAATCATGAACGATTATATTTTCCAGTGAAAACATGTAACTAGAGAGCACATTCATGTAGCCATAGTTCATAAAATGTAAATCAATACATCAGTAAATCAATACATCAATAAATCAGAATATCGAACATTTAAAAGATTCAATAAAATAATAACTTCGATAAATCACATTTCAGGATAGACAAAATAATCATATAGCACATAAGGAACAAACTAGACGATCCAATTATTTTCCGGGGTACTTGGTATTTATCAGGTAGGGAGCCACAAAATTTCTTTAAACTGATTGAATTTTAGTACGAGATCCCTATAAAAAAGGGGTTTGATAGGTAACAAATTCATCAGTTATTCAGGAAGTGATTTATCAAGATTATATAGTATTCAAATATTTTTCAGAGGCGCTAAGTAATCAAGAAGGTATTTATAATCTTTTACGTCAGAGTTACTTAGGTAATTTAGTATTCAAGTCATCCATTTAATTCTAGGTCATTGAGGGTACTTAGGTAATTTAGTATTCAAGTTTATCCGGTCACTTTAGAGTTTTCATTGTAATTCGATCGTTTTAACAATTCGGATACGTATAATACTTCCATTCAGTTCAACTTTGACATATAATATAATCATTTGAATATCGGAGGTTATTTTAGTTATTTTGCAGCTCGAGGACATTTCGATAATTCTTTTCAATCCAAACATATGCACTTTTCTGGTAATTTGGTCAAGTATATCCTTTTTGGATTGTTTTTTATATTCAGGGGCAATCTTGATCTTTTTTACAGTACAAAGGTATTTTTAAAATTTTACTCCATAGAGCTATTTTTGTAATTCTTAACCAAGTATTCTCGACATCTAACCTTTAAAGAAATTAATCAGAATTTTGGATCCCGAGGTCAATTTATTTACTAACTAATCACTGAACTTAAAATTATTTTCAATCGGTCTACCAAATTCTTTTACGAGCCGTCTGAGTCTTATACAATGTTATGTATTTATTCCATATTCAGTTTGAGTCTAATCATTTCCATTAATGCATTTACCAATTATCAATGAGTTCCGAAAAACATACAAAAAGTAGTAGAGTATTACCTCAATTTTTGAGCCACATCGGTTAACCAATTAAACTCCATCTGATCACTCTCAAACTTTAATTCCAAGTCCCATAATGTCTCGAACATATGAAAAAACCAATTACATTAGAAACAGAAATTAAACGTGAAAATTTGTATTGAATCAGGAGATAGAATATCGAAAAATAGCTTACCGAGTTTGAATTTGGAAAAACAGATTTCAGATTTAGACTCAGGACATCGAAAAACATAAAATATGACTTTTTTTAAAAAATTAACTTTTTGGTCAAAGTCAACGGTCAACTGGTGAAAGTTAAAGTCAATTAGTTAATGGCTCGGTCAACACGGATCGACTCGGTCAATAGCTCAGCTTAGAAGCTTAAACGGCTCAGCTTAAAGCTTTAACGACTGAGCTTGGCTAAAAAAATAGACTGGTTTGGGCAATTCAACTCAGCGAGTTGACTTGGTGACTCGGGCGAGTTGACTCGGTCATCTATAAGATTCGACATAAATAATGCCTACGCACGACGGAGGCACATGACAATGTGTGTGACGGTAAAACGGTCAAAAGAAGGCGGTCGATCACTCTTGCAGTATTATCTCTAAATATCAACCCAAAACAAACCTTAAATTTAGCTAACAACGATGATAAGGGACACACGGTGGTTAGAGGGAAAACAAGATGATAAGGGACACTGTCAGTTGAGTCCTGACAGGAATTGAATGAGGAGCTCGACGGTTATGGCGGTGAGGCCACCGGTGCTCGGGATCGGCGTGAAAAATCGATAAAAACTGTAACGGTGGCTTGGTTTCTCGACGAATGGTTGATGGTCATTTTACAATTAACGGCATCGATTCTTGATACACTGTCACTAGTGTTTTAGTTACACGACGATGGAGAACACTCCGACGAGGGCAGTGCCGAGCACGATTGACCGAGCGACGGTGGGTCGATGGTAAAGGTGGTGGGGGATTTTAATTTTGGGAATTTGGGTTTTAAGTTTTGGCATGATTCTGATTAGAAATTGATTTGGGGGTTTAAACATATGGCTTGACACTGTTTATGAGATATTTTGAATAAATTATCTTAAACAGTAGCCTAACCAATGGCTAAGGCATGGGTGTTTGTTCCTTGGGTATCAGGTTCAAAACTCCATGGCCATATATTTTCTCATTTTTTCCTTGATAAATAAATGGGTAAATTACACCCAAAGCCATTGATTTTTATAGATTTCAACTTTCATACTATAAACTTTACCCCGAAATCAATCTAGTCCTTAATTTTCCATAATTTCCTTTTTACTTTGTATTCTAAATGTCACATTTAACAATTAAATCACCAATTTACCAAAATAACTTCTAGCCTAGGATTTGGGTGTGACATAAAATTTTAAAAATTCTAATTCTAAATCCTATACCCATGCTGGTTGTCGGACTTTACCACCGTTGTAGTCGACCGAAATTCCATCCGACGATCAATTACCTGACAAACAGTCACCAACATAATCCGACGAATAACAAAGATACAAATTTCAACACTTGAAGAACTCGACGACCATCTCGACAACAAGTGCGACGACCTACAA